TAGCTCAAGTGGTAGAGTGCTCGCCTTGAGCTGAAGAGCTGAGGGACAGCGCCCAGGCCCAGAGTTCAAGCCCCATGACCGACAAAAAAAAAAAAAGACAGAAGGAGCAGATATGGGAGAGGGAGCGAGCCCTGAAGGGGCTGCTGGCCTCTGGGTGGCCAGGCTTGTGGCCAGGCGGGCTGTGCAGCAGGGGCTGGTGCTGGGGCTTGGCCAGGACTGGCTCTAGGGGCTGAGTGCCAGAGGAGGGGCTCTCGGAACCTGCTGGGCCAGGGGCTGAGCATGAGGCAAGAGCGGGCTGTGACGGCCCTGAGGTCACGCGAGGAAGCGCTTTGCAGAGGGCCTGGCCAGAGCTCTACGGCTGCGGGTCCCCGCCCACCCCATTACGGATGGGAGCAGCCTGGGTGCGTCTCCACATCAAACGTAATTTCCAAAGATCTGAAGAAGCTACCTACCTCTGAGGCTCCCTGCGGGGCAGGGACTGCACTTGGCTGACCTCCCGTGGCCCAGGCAGGGTGACCCGGTCCTTCTGACATGGCAGGAGTAACTGTGGAGGCTACAGGGAGAGCTGGGGCCAAGAGTCCAGCTCTCCCAACCCCCGCCTGGCCCCAGATGCACACATCTGGGGCCAGGGTTTGGGCTGGCACTTTGGAAGCCAGGACACGATGAAGGGCCCAGCCTGCGGGGCCTTGTTTCTCAGCCAGGAGCCCGGACCGACCCTAGCTGACTCCTCCCATGTACTCTGGGTGTTTCCTTCCATTCAGAAGAGAGACCAACTTGCCAAAGGATTCTGGGTCCACCCACAGGAGCGTCCAGGAATCACATAATCAGAGGTCACTGGGTGCAAAAACATTCAGTCCTGGCACCATAGGCAGGCTCTCAAGTTCAGCCATAAACAGTCACCATCATGGTGGACAGTTAGAGCGAGCAATTGTCACAACCACGGGAGGAGGCTCGACGAGGAAGGCAACCTTCCAGGCCCCAGGCCCTGTCCTGCCTGGGCACTGCCAGCCGTTGGCCGTGCCCTGCACACTCATCCCGCTCTCTGGATTTTCCTTACAGCCTTCATAAATCCTGGCAGGACTGCTGCTTCCCCCGAGAGAGAGGTCCAGCAAGGTCTGTTTGTTCTTAGGTTGGCTCTGCTGACGAGATTCACAAAGAGAGAGACCCACCCACTCATAAGTCCTCACAGGAGAAGGGAATTTCAGTGGTGAGCACAGAGCGAGTTGCGGCTCTAACATCTGCCTTTGGGTGAAATCTAGATGGTTGGTTTCACTGAAAAATCAGAATCTGCTCATTGGAGGTCTTTGGGAAGGGAGAGCCACAGGCCTGGTGTCCTACCAAATACCAGCAGCGTACAATGCTTCCACGCCCAGCCCCGGAAGTGCCCAGGTGTCTCTGGAGATCCTCCCCTTTTCCCTCCGGGACCCTGCCCCTCCTCCTGGCCTTTGCATGCATTCCTCCCCTGCACTGCCTCCATACTTTCACACTTCCAGACGGCTCTTTCTCATAACTCAGTAACGGCGCGCACATGGTTTCCCTGTAGAGGCCTTTCACCACAGCGCTGTTCCCCGCATGCCTGAGCACCTGTGGAGAGGACGCCCCACAATGGGCCCCAGCCTGGTGCTGCTCCCCTAACCTGTGGGGCTCCAGATTCGGGGGAGCGGTCTGTGCTGGTGCTCAGGCCGGTGCTCTGGTGGGAGCTTGTCACCCTCACCACGCTGCCCCCCCCCCGTCTCTCATGGCCAATGACAAGGTTTGCAACCTCCTCACCCCGCCAGCACCGAGAGGCCAAACCACCACACACACACACACACACACACACACACACACACACACACACACGCTGACAAGTGGCCCTCATCCTCTGCTGACCTCTCTCCTGCACAGCCTCCTTTCAGCCGAGGCTGCCCCCTCTGCAGGCCTGCTGCAGGGAAACCATGCTCACACCTGGGCTGGGGAAGCGGCTTGCAATGCAGCCTGCGATCCACAGGCCTGCAAACCCTTCTCGCTGTGAGAAGCCAGGGTCCCCCGGCAGGAGCACCTTCCACTCCACGCTGTGTAGGACACACCCAGGGCTCCTGGTCCTCCTTCAAGCCATCTGCCTCCACCCTGGGCAGCTCTACTCAAGGGCACCATAAGTGGGAGCAAAGTGAGTTCCTGCCTGCCCGGGCCGCTTGTGTGAGGTGGCGGGCGTCTGGGTGCTCTGCCCCGAGCGAGTGCGTGCCCAGGAGCATGCGCTCAGCCCTCGTGTCCCACGGAGCAAGGGGCCGGCCCTGCTTCCATCAGCCCAGGCCTCAGGATCTGGGTGTCATGCGCCAACACCAATGCCCTCACCCACCGGGCTGCCGGGCGCCAAAGGCCTGGGTCTGCCCCAGTTCACCCAGCTGCAGTTCTGCAGCTAGGCAGGAGCCTTCCTCACCCCTCTTCTCCTCCCCGAGGAGGCAATCCTACCTGGCCTCCAGAGGGCAGCAGGCTCCCAACCAAAGCACTCTGGGCTGGCAAGAGCCCACCTTTCCTGGCCACAGCCAGGCCCCAAGTCACCCCGCCTCTTCTCCACATAGTCACAGGAGAAACAACACAGCCCCAGGCAGCTGGCAGAGGGAAGGAACTAGAAGGATTTCCATGCAGACCAATGCCAGAAGCACAAAGCAGCCTCTCAGGTCACCCTGAATCTCCGGCCCCAACACCTACACGCGTGGAGACGGAGCACGAGCCCGGCAGCACTCACCGTTGGAGCGATGGATGCAGGTGTGCTGATTGTCACTGAGGAAAAAGCCACTGTGGCACTGGCACTCATAGCTGCCCATGGCGTTCACACAGATCTGCTGGCAGCCGCCATTGTTGTCCTGACACTCGTCCACATCTGCGGAAAGAGGAGAAAAGAGCAGGCAAGTCGCACTCGGAGCCCACACTCTCTCCAGGCTGTGCCAGAGGCCTCAGCGGGGGCACAACGCGGCAGCACTCACGGTCTGGCAGTGCCCAGAGCCTTGGCTAGAGGGGTACTGTGCAGTGGTACTGTGAGTCCCTATGGTCTATGCTAGAGTGGTGCTGTGCAGTGGTACTCCACGACAGTGCCCATGGTCTATGCTATGGAGGTGCCTCACGGTGGTACTCTGTGACAGTACCCACACCTATGTTATGGAGGTACCTCACAGTGGTACTCTGTGACAGTACCCACGCCTATGCCACAGTGGTGCCTCACGGTGGTACTCTGCAGCAGTACCCACGCCTATGCCACAGTGGGGCCTCACGGTGGTACTCTGTGACAGTACCCACGCCTATGTTATGGAGGTGCCTCACGGTGGTACTCTGTGACAGTACCCACGCCTATGCCACAGTGGTGCCTCACGGTGGTACTCTGCAGCAGTACCCACGCCTATGCCACAGTGGTGCCTCACGGTGGTACTCTGCAGCAGTACCCATGCCTATGTTATGGAGGTACCTCACAGTGGTACTCTGTGACAGTACCCACACCTATGCCACAGTGGTGCCTCACAGTGGTACTCTGTGACAGTACCCACACCTATGCCACAGTGGTGCCTCACAGTGGTACTCTGTGACAGTACCCACGCCTATGCCACAGTGGTGCCTCACGGTGGTACTCTGCAGCAGTACCCACGCCTATGTTATGGAGGTACCTCACAGTGGTACTCTGTGACAGTACCCATGGTTTATTGTCTGGTGATACTGTGCAGTGGTACTCCGGCAATACCTCCAGTCCATGCTATGTTGTACTGTACAGTGGTATTGTGCAGTGTACTCAAGGCAGTATTTCATGGAGGTGCTGCGAAGTGCCACTTCTGGGAGCTGTCCTAGGAAGGTGCTCTGCAGTGGCAATCCACGGCCATACTCTACAGCCACACTTCAGAGATACTCTGTGGTACTCAGTGGCCCTTCTACAGAGCAGTCCAGAGAAGGGGCCAGTGACGGTGGTTGCTCGCCAGGTGCCCAGCAGCAGTCTAAGCATGCTATTTATCTTAACTCCTTTAGTCCTTGCCTCAACTCACCAGAGCCAGGAACTGGCCCATCTTTAGATGAGGAATCCGAGGGACAGGGACACAAGGCCACTCGCCCAACGTCCCACATGCATTAAGCGTCAGAGGCAGAAATCAAACCTGGAAGACTGACTCCCACACTCGAGCCCCTTCCCCTAGAAGCACAGTGCAGCCCGCCCTCCCTCCCTTACCTCCCCCTCTCCCCAAGCAGCCTTGCCAACCACAATCCGCCATTCCCTCCTTTCTCAAGTTTACAGCGAGCCACGTGAGACCCAGGGGGAGGCTGGACGCCCGGGCAGGCTGTGCCACCCCAAGGCCCTAGGCCCCGCAGATTGATTTCAAAAGCCCAGAGGGTGGGAGCGTTTGAAAAGGCCCTGACCTCTGGCTTCCAGGACAGCCGGGGATCACTGCCAGGAGGTCTTTCCCACTCCCTGGGAGGGACGGGCCTCGGGGCGGACACTCACTTCTGACCAGAGGCTGCTGGCACAAAGGCGAGTGGCTGGCTGAAAAGAGTCTTTATGGAGTTCTGGTCCTGAACGGAACAGCATGTTTCAATTACTGAAGTCATAACCCCCTACTCCGTCGGTTTGTTTAATGAAAGAAGGGCTTCTTAAACCTTAATGTTCCATGGCTGTATTGTCATTTTAATAGGCAAATATATAAAACCACAAAGGCAATGCGAGCTACTGGCTGCCTCCAGCCAGTGCCCGCCTCTCCATGTTCGCACACACACACACACGCGCGGGCACACACACTTTGCTGCTGAGAAATTCCATCCGGTTCTTTTGAACACAGACATCTTTTATTCTTAGGACTAAAAGGATGAGAAGAGGTGGAGGTGAACACAGTGACCTGTGCTGACTGGCCAGCAACGCTGTCAGCTGGGCCCTATTTAGGCTCAGGGCCAGCAGACTGCTTTACCACCCAGGAGATCGCGGCTGCCTTTGAGGCCCACAGCGCAGCGTGGCCTTATTCTCTGGCAGGCTCAAATGTCAGCCGTGTGGCAGTTGCAGCAGGGAGGAAGGGCTCTGAACTCCAAAAGCCACCAGTGGTGACAGTTCCAATGGAAAGGTGACTCTTGCTGACAGGAGCTCAGGGAGAGGGCAGCCTTCCTCCCCAGCCTTGTTGGTGGCTCCCTGTGGTCGCCTCTGTGGAGGGACCCCAAGGTTCAGCAAGTGGCCGCACCCCCCCTCATACTCCTCCAGCTTGGGCTGCTAGGTTTCCTGTGTTCCCATCCTCAGCACCACAAAGCCAGCATCCCCGGGAGCTCACTGCAGGCCACAGCTTATGTGGCACATGGGTCTACTGACTGGTGCCATCCAAGACCCCGCCTCAGGAGAAGGGGAGTAGGGAGGGGAGGTAGCCTGAACAAAGTCACAGTAAGGCAGGACTGACACCCTAGGCCTGGCTCCAGTGCCTCGGCCTGCAGCCTCCTTCTAAGCTGACCGTGCCACAAGGAAGTTCAAACTAACGTCATGAACAACCCTGTCTGTCTATGAACTTGAATCTGGGGGTCAACTTGTGCTCCTGTCTATCAAGTCCCAAGCGTGGCTGTTCCTGAGGGCCTGGAGAGTGACTCAGTTTCTCTACTAGGATTAGTCCCATCTCTGGCCCAGCAAGACCTGAGAGGCACCTGTGCCCAGGTCCTGGCACACACCTGACCACGCGGCAGGTCCGAGGCCCTGCGGTCGGTTATGATCTCTCTTCCATGGCTGACACTCTGCTCTGGGCCTGGGTCTCTCCAGCAGGAGTGAAGGCTCAATTGTAGGACAGACAGGACAGAGAGACTCTGCCATGACGGCATCATAGGGCAGAAATGCTTTCACCCAATGCCACCCATGTGTGACCAAGCAGGGGCCTGGCCCCGCTCTTACCTCACGGAGGGAGGGCGAGGAAGCGAAGGGCAGCTGCCAGACGCTGAGGCCTGGCCGGGTGGCTGGGCCTGTGGGACAGAGCTGTTTACACTAGCGGGGAACAATGGCTCTCCAGCACTGATGAATAATTTGAAACAAATGCAAGGCCGTGTAAACATTTCTTTCCCTCACTCCCCAGTGATAAAGCCCCAGATTAAGTCGGCGGGAGGGGGGGGTGTCCCTCATCACCCTTTCTCCATGGGGTCCAAACACAAGCCTCGCTCGCGTCCTTCATGGGAAGCCGGGGCCCACGCACACCTTCTGCTCCCAAACAGGCTGCAGAGCAGGCAGCTGGATGGCAGGCTTGGAGGGGTGACTGTCTCCACAGCCGGGGGAGACCGGCTTGCCTAGCAGGGCACTGCAGTCCCTGAGAAGAGGGCGGAGCCCCCACCATGTACACCCCGTCCTGAGCAGTACCTCCACAGCACCCAGGGTCGGTCAGGCCCTTCAAGTTCTGCCCTGCCTGGGGGCTCATGAGCGGCGCCAGGCCCACATCCAGGAAGAGCCCGGGAAGTCAGGAACTGCAGGCAGTCAACCGGGAAGTGGTTCTGGAGCACGGGGAGATAAGCTCCTTACTGCCCACTCGTGGACCCACAGCAGGCTCCCACACCCCGAGGTGAGCGCAGAGCGGCGGGGCACACGACTCACATCTCCGTTCACACCCATCAGGCCGTGGCTTGGGGTTCACACGCACTTACTAACTGCACATGGCACCCCTTGGGATGGGGCTCCTTGGTTCAGAGCCCCACATCTCTCTGAAGATGTCGGACGCAGGAAAGGCTCACACACCCGCCCTGGCTGTGCATTTGTTCTCCCAAACCCAGGACTTTGCCCTCCTTTGTGTCTCTTCCCAGTGCTAGCAGCACCCAGGCCCAGCACCCAGTCCCCCCAGTCCCTAGGCCAGGACACAGTTGTTCCCCCTTTCTTCCTCTGTGTGGACCACAGGGCCTGGCTGTCATGTCTCTGCTCTGCGTGCGGTTAGGCCTGCCTCTCCTCATGGCTGACCCCAGTCGGGAGTGGCTGTGTGGGGTGTCTCAGCATGGGTGGATGCCCCCAGAGAGGCCCCGGGCAGAGCCCTACCAACTGCTCACCTCCTCTGCCACTCACCAGCGGCCCCACTTCTGCTATTCTGAGCACAGCCCAGTGCTCACCCCTGTCCACTTCTGGAGCAGACCACAAACACCCAAGGCCCACTCAAGTGAACACAGCCGGTTCAGTCCCTGCCCGGGCCACTGGCTAAAGCTTCACACCAGCACACAGGCATGGGAGGCTTTCTGGAGGAGATGGGGGCAGGGGGCTGCTAGGAGATCGGCAACCCAAGGGTAGAAGAGGAGGGGGAAGAAGGAGGAGGAGGAACAGCAGCAGCTCAGAAGGCAGGGAGGCAGGGCAGGGTGGGGCAGAGGCGGCGCAGCGTCACGGGCTCTTCTAGCAGGAGAAGGACTCTGAAAACCTCCGGGGAATGTGGCTGTCGGGGGAGTGGGCCCGGGGAGGAGGTGAGCGGAGCGAGGCTCCAGTGTGGCTCTGAGGCCTGTGATCCCACAGGACTCCTGAAAACATGGGTCCTGCCTGGCCACTCACCAGTCTGGCTAGCAGGGCAGCAGTTGCCGGGGAGGGCACCACCGAGCCAAGGCCAGGGAGGGCCCAGAGGCCGCTTCCACGCTAGACAGTCCAGACTCCCCCAGGAGCTGGGGGGGGGGCGCATGGGGGACCCAGCCGCTGGTCCATCTTTCTGTGTGACCATGGCCTAAACGCGATGGAGCTGCAGGGCTGACTCTAGAGGATGGCCTCACAGCTGGCCCAGAGCTGCGGGGAACGGTGCAGCGCAGACCCCAAGGCCCACGGGGTGCCAGGCGGGGAGGCCTCTCATGCACAAATGCACCATTAGCTGTGTCTCCACACCTGAGGGAGCCCCTAATTCTTTGGGTGCCAGGCAGGCAAGAAAGGGAGCAGAAGAG